TAAACATACAGCTACTTTCTCTTAATTCAATGAGAAGAAAGATTTGTACTAATAGTGTTTGGACAGGATATCATGTCTGAATCTTGTACTATGAATAACCACCATAAAGACAACAATATGCAATGTGTTATTGTAACTATCCTACTAGCCTATCTGGAGACTGTCTCATTGCTATTTGTTTCTTAATAAAATTAAATTTAAAAAAAATAGAAAAAGCACTGTAAGAAAACTTCAAACCAGACTTATATGCCCTGCAAAAGTGCCTTTCCACAGTGATCAAGAAATATGGTATGTCTAGGACAGAGAGCACCTCAAGAGATTCATTACCACCAAACTAGTGCAATGAAACACTCTTGAAAATATCCCAGAAAGATACAATGAAGCCAACAATACCAGAAGGTCCAATAGACGAACTATGTCTAGCAGGGTGAGCAGCAAAGCAGAAATGAGAATGAGGAAATCTGCAAGTGGAAAAGAATATAATGAGAGACATACACCAAGACTTCTCAGTAAAACTCTCAATGAGATAGTCTCAGTTACACAATCAAAGTAAACAGATTGGTAGAATGGATCAAGAAACTAAACCCAACAATATGCAGTACACAAGAAACACATTTAATCCACAAGGAAAATCACACATTAAAAATCAAAAATCACAAGCATTTTCCATGTAACAGAAACCCAGAAAGTTTTTAAAGTAAATTTCAAGCCAAAACAGATAAGAATAGGCAACAAAGGAAAAAATTCAACAGGAAGAAATAATCATTATAAACATATATGTACCAAACACTGGCATGATCAACTTCATAAAACAAAAGCTACTGGACCTAAAAACTCAGATAAACACTAACACAACTATAATAGGAGACCTCAACACTCCACTGCAACAAATAGATCAATTAGACAAAGATCAACAAAGAAATATGAGAGGTCAACCAACTCTTTGAACAAATTGACCTAATAGGTACTTATAGAGTGCTTCACCTAACAAAATACATGTTGTTAATAAACATGGCATTTTCTCCAAAACAGCTCATGTGGGCTAGCATGCCAGTACTAGAGAATGCTTAAATAAATGCAAAACAATCAAAATTATCCTGTGTATAGTATCAGATTATAGTGCAAGAAAACTGAAAATCCATGGCTTAAAAAAAGCATAGAAAATATGCAAACTGAACAATACCCTCTTAAATAATCAATTGTCACAAAAGGCAGTCTTTTAATAAAGGCAGTCATAAAAGGGAAGTTTATAGTGTTCCCATCAATACCTATGTCAGAAAAATTGGGAGTTCAAATAAATAACCTAAGGATTATGTCAAGGTCCTAGAAAACAAAAAACAATCCTCATCTAAAGCTAGTACAAGGAAGGAAATTATAAAGATCAGACCATTATTAATGAAATAGAGACTAAAACAAAAATCTATACAAAGAATCAATGAATTGGAAAGCAGGTTTCTTGAAAGAATAAACAAAACAGATAAACCCCTAGGCAATCTTAGCAAAAACAGTAAAGACCTGTATCAGTGCAATCGGAAATGCAAAAAGCAAAATCACAACGAACACTACCAGGATCCAGAAGATTATTTAAAAACCTGTACTCCGATAAGTTGGAGAATTCAGAAGAAATTAGATTCCTAGATACATATGCATTATCAAAGCTGAACCAAGAATATATAAAACCTTGAATGAACCAGTAACAAGCAATGAAAGTGGTAATTAAAAAGTAATCCACTGAAAGCACAGGACTTAATAGGTTCCCTACAGAATGCTAGAAGAACTTTAGAAAGACCTAAGGCCAATAATCTTCAGACTCCTTAATGAAGCTGTAAAAGAAGTATTCCCAAAGTCATTCCTGGAAGCTACCACTCCTCATTCTAAAACAGAAAAGGACCCAAACAAACAAACAAAAAGAGAATAGGCCAATCTCTTTAATGAACACAGACACAAAAATCCCCAGCCAGGTACTGGTAAGCAGCAAACAACAAACAGATCATTGGAAAGATCATGGAGCATAATCAAGCAGGCTTCACCCTAGGGGTGCAGGGTTAGCTTGACATTTGCAAATGCTAAGTCACATAAACAGAAGCATGAACAAAAAAAAAAAAAAAAAAAAAAAGACAGCACCAGCTATAAGGAAAAGATTCAAACTGTTTCAAGAAAGGGAAAAGAGTGATCGGAAGAGCACACGTCTGAACTCCAGTCACGCCGCAACATCTCGTATGCCGTCTTCTGCTTAAAAAAAAAAAAAAAAATCACACAATAAGCTAAACAGACGCTGGAAAGGTCTTTGGCATCTATTCACAGTACAAACCTAAGAGAAAAATAGGTATGGAAAGATCTTATTTCAATCAGCTAAAAGTCGTTTATGATAAACCAATGCTCAACATCACATTAAATGGGGAAAATTTGAAAGCTTTCACTTTACAACTTGTAACAAGACAAGGACATCCATCACACTTTATTTTGCTCTGTTCTTGTATCTCTCCAAGTGAGAAAGGTTGAGAAATAGCTTCAGGATTAACTGTCACCCTCAGTTCTTTTCTAAGTGGTGCTTTAACTATGATCCTTTCCTAACACACACTCTCTTCATTTTCCCGCGGCTCTTCTTCCTCGGTCTCTTTCCTCCTCCCAGCATCCATGCCTAACATGCCATGATTTACTCGTGTATGACATACACTTTCTTCTTCTCTCCAGGAAGAAAATAAAATCTAACACAAAGGGATCTTTGCTATCCCAAGAGGCTTGCTTTTTTTTGTCATAAATCAAATATTTGACTTAAAATGAATCCATGAATTTCCTCAGAATATACATGCTGATTTTTGAAAAATAGATTAATGGTATGTGTTCATAGGAAGAGGGCATGAGCTGGAGAGATAGCTGAGCGGCATAAGTGCCAACCGGGCAAGCACAAGGTCCTGAGTTTGATCCTGGTACAAAAAGAAAAAGGAAAAGGAAGAGAGCAGGATAGTGAGGAAACGCAAATTTCAGAGTCACAAGAAGCTAAATTCTAATCGTTCACTTAACTGTTTTCCAGGCAAACTTTTCCTAAAGGGTGAGGTGAGCTCTATGAGATTTAGCCCCTTCCTCTTTAAAAGGACGATTGATCATTGGAATTAAGTCAGATAATGTACACAAAGTACTTAACACATTCTTGTCACTAAGGGGGCAGTCAACATAAATATTTTTTATATTTCATATCTTATCTATCATACTTCAAGTGCAAGTTATCAAAAACAGCCTTTTTCTTTTTAAATAGGATTATACATAAAGGCAACTTGTAAAGAAAACAAAAATCTCTAACAACTATGAGTGGAATTCCATCTTAAGAATTTAACATGAAATCTTGCGGCAAAACTTTGCACAGTACCTTCAGGTAAAGTTTTGCAATATATATTTAAAATATAACATAAAATGATAGTACTTTGCTATTTTACTGATACTGTGTACATATTTCAATTCAACCCCATAAAATACTAAAATCTTCACACACAGTGGTCACCCATAAATGCATTTCTGGGTAACAGGCTAATTGAATTCTAAGTGGACTTTTCTTTCTTTCTTTCTTTCTTTCTTTCTTTCTTTCTTTCTTTCTTTCTTTCTTTCCTTTTGTATTTTAGGGAAGGGTCTACAGAGTGTTCAGCGTCTCACTACTAGATTGGATTTGTAGTGATGCGCCTGTTTACAGCCTCCCAAGAGCAGGGATTACAGGCACGTGCCACCATGCCCAGTCTCAATTGAGCTCTCAGTGCTCTTTGGGGGCGGGGCCAGCACAGCAGGCCAGGGGGTTCAGGGGATCAAACCACCAGCCCTTGAGCCTGCTTGCAGGTGCTTTAATCCACTGAGCTATTTGGCTGGCCCTAAGTGGCCTTTAATTTTTTTTTTTTTTTCAGGACCGAGGATTGAACTCAAGAGTCTGAGCTTGCCTGGCAAGCACGTACTCTACTGAGCTATCTCCTCAGCCCTTAAGTGGCCTTTAAAATGAAACCCAAACCTCACTGCAAAAACAAAACCTGTCCTCAGTAACATTTTAGAGAAAAGGAAATAATTTTTAAAGCTATGAGTATCCTAAGTCCATCTGGCTTGGAATATAATTGCTCTAGCCCCAAAATATGGCCACAATAACCATTCTGATGCTTGCTGTAAAACGCACACGTAGATTCTTTACGTTTATGCTGTGCATTCACACGTGATCTGGTATTGCTGAAATAGAATCTTTATTTCTGAACATTCCAAAACAGCAGTGTACACAGTAACAAATATTAAGTCATATACCATAAGAAAGCATTCATTAGTGCAAATGGATTTTGTAAAAGATCTATCAAAAGATTTATTTGCTTTAAAATGCATTCATTTCCAGAAGCATTGTTAATAAAACATTACAGTTTCATCCTTGGTAATAAAGTATTGAAAATCAATTGTGGTATAGTAGCAAACATTGCAGGTATTAAGTGCAATGAGCCTGTGACACCGTTATAAATATGAAACTCATGTATGACAATAAATTAACAATAAAAAGACAAGACCATTGAACTCTGCTGTCTGGCTATCTCCTTGCAATGCTTCAGATCATGTTGTGCTCATTCAACATAAAATTATGTCTTAAATCGTAGGGTGTATTTTCACTGATATATCCCTAGAGCTAAAAAAATAGTACCTTACCACAAAAATATTTTTATGGCACAAAATTTAAGTTGTTTGATAGTGGTTCACAGAAATGTAAAAAGAAATAGGCACAAAAAAATAAAATTCCTGTAAACTATAAAAAAGTAAAATTCAAAGCATGTGTTATAGAACCTAGTTGTAAATAAGGGATGTATTAAAATACAGAACATGTAATGGAAAGATGTTTAGAACACATAGGTAAATCGAACAAGTTACTTTAAAAAACTCATATGGCAAAGCATTATTGATACATCTCAATTCTCTCAAAAAGATTTCGGGTACAGAGCAGTTCTACAAAAACTTTCTAGATCTAAGAGTCACAATACTGCAACCACTGGTTTGAGAATGTCGCAGTATTTCAGGCAAATATTTAAGTGCAATAATTAGTCTCTGGTGATTGGTCCATGGAAAAACAACGCAGTAAATATGTTAAAATGCAAAAGGGAAAGAATATCCCAACATCCACTGTTACCCAGCCAGCTAGGTAAGACAACCCTCATTTTCACTTCTTTCCCATTCTTCAGAAGTACATAAAGCTGCATCAGTAGCAGCCATCTCTCCAATTTCCATCCCTCAGTGTGCTGAGTGAAGACAGAGGCTTTGGAGGCTGCAGGAAACTAGAAAGGGATGAAAAGGGGAAACAGACTGTCAATAATCTCATGAGTCACACCACTTTCTTAGATCTCCCTCCCCATCCACGCTCCTCCATGCAGTAATGATGGCCACTCGTGTTGGCCAAGTGAGCCCTGAACTACATATTTCCAGGCCTTCCTGTGCATGTTGCATGTTTACAAGTAAATTTGCAACAAATGAAAATGACTGGCAGCCCAAATGCATAAAAAGTGTTTTAAAATTGAAGCAAACACTTGAGGAAAATTTTGCCATTATTAATAATCAAAGATCTGCATATCATATTGACAAAGGTTCATACACAGTGTTTGCCTCAAGTGCATGGAAGTAGAGCCTCTTACAGTTTGGAAGTGACCACATTCCCTGGGGTTCAGTGTGGAAACATTTGTCTGAGTAGAAATAGGTGGTCCACAGTAACTTAAATACAGCTAAGTACGCAATTCCTTTCAGCCATTAACATCATAAAAATGATAGGGTTCTATGTTTACCATGGAGAAAAGGCCAGACATACTGAATACACGCACAACTTCTATCTGGATAGTAGGATTACGGGCCATCTTTTATGGACTTTTTCAATGATTTCTCAACTTGTTTTTGATCTGAGCAAGCATACGTCTAACCAGAAAATATAAACATATAGATACATTAAGAAGGAAAAATGGAGGGACCAGGGAGATGGCTCAGTGGAATAAGTGCTTCCCTGGCAAGTGCAAGGGCCTGGGTTCAACCTCCGGCTCCACTAAA